TGTGTTCCGCCGTAGCTACGTACGCCGCTCGACCACCCAAGGGTACATACACGAACGGAGCACTCTAGGAAAAGTGCATAAGTACGAGGCGGGATATTTACTTTGTGCCGGCCCAGGTATGTAAATACATACACCTTTTTAATGCCGAAACGACTAACTTTTCCCGAGTAGGCCGACAGCCATTTCGACGGGGAACGGTTTAGCCGTAAACCGACTTGGGCGCAAGTTTATGGGATTATAAGCAACGAATGAAAACAATGAATAACTTTTATGTACCAGCGAAACGCAATTTTTTAGTTTGAATAACAATACAGATCTTTCGTTTGACGTTTAAAATTATGGACTGGGGTTAAAAATGCGCCTCCATTGGAACGGATGCGTTAACCAATTCAGTTCCAAGTAGTGGTATAAGGTGATTTTTACACGTGTAATTATTTATTACTTATAAAAGTGTACAAGAAACAATGTAAATGCTGTTAAACGAAATTTTGGATCGGTACTTTTTGTATGAAAAATGGTGCGTTTATGCAACTTGGAACAATTTTTTATTGAAAAACATGAATACAATAACTTATATATCTATTAAGTCAACTTTATAAAAAAATGACATTTTACATGTTTCCTATAGCAGATATTTCACTCTTCCGGATGGTAAAAATTATTTCGTTCTAAGTCGTCTAGTTTTTCATGGAGGTACATAATAGTTTAAAAATGATATTAAGTTCATATTTTTAAAACAGTGTAAAGTCCATCACATAGAGGAATTAATGGACTTGTCTTAAATCCATTCAATAGTTCGAAGGTAGTGATTATTACTCGCACAATTCTTACCGAACGATTCCAAAGTTACAAGGTTTTTGCATGTTTCATTTGCTTTTCTCTAAAGTTTGAAAAGTGTGACGCAATACACTCTGGCTTGGGGATCCAGATAAGGGGTGTCCCAACAAGAGCGGAAAATTTAAATTTGGCGCCATTTCTGCTGCTATGCTTTGACAGTCAAACCATTATGACATTTCGATGGTAAACAGTCCGCCATTATTAAAAATGCATCGCTATTCGACACAACAACGCATTCTTATTGTTAAACATTATTTAAAAAATGATGAAAGTTTGACTGCCACGATTCACAAATTGTATCCAATGTTTGGCAGACAAAATGTCCAGGTCGTTCAACAGAAAACATCACGGCTGTTCGCCAAAATGCCGCGAATGCACAAACAGTCAATGGTGAGCAGCATCGAGACATGATAACCCAGTGTTTTGTGTCTAAAATGGATGGTATGGATTTCGAAGACATGTGGTTCCAACAGGACGGTGCCACTTGCCACGCATCACGTGAAACAATGGCATTATTGCACGAGACATTCCCTGGTCCTGTAATCTCCCGTTTGGGCCACCAGAATTGGCCGCCTAGATCGTGCGATTTAACGCCTTTGGACTTCTTTCTCTGGGATTTTTGAAGTTAAAAGTTTATGTCAACAAGCCCAAGACCACCCAAGCCTTGAAGGAGGAGATTAGACGCTGTATCACTTAGATCCAGCCATAAGTATGCCAAACCGTGATTGAAAATTTCGTCAAAAGAACGCAAATGTGCCAGCAAAGCCGAGGAGGGTATTTACAAGATGTGTTGTTCCATACATAATTCCCACACTGTATTTTATTTGGAATTTAAATTTTCTGCTCTTGTTGGGACACCCTTTATTATTTTGCTGAAGTATAAAAAATGCATTATAACATTAGACACCATATTATAGACGTCCACTACATGAGAAAGATACCAAAAAATTTCAGTGATTTAAAAAAAACTTCGCTTATTATAGAGCTATAAATCCTTCAATTTCATCAAATTTCAAAATGTTGTAGGGTCGAAGATTTAGACGTGAAAGAAGAAATAGTGGCGAAAAAAATATTAAGCAAATCTTTGAAATCCTTTTTCATAACTGAATTTAATATAATTTGAATTTAATAATGTGAATACAGAAACGAGTAACAGGCATCGTAAGATGTAAGAATCTTTAGATATACTACAGTTGTAGGTCAAAAATCGCGAAAAACTGCGATTTTCAAGATTTTTAACCGTTTGTATCTCATAACAACATTACCCGATTTCGATGAAATTTTCAGAATGCATGTAACTAATATAAATCTAAGTAATGTATTCGTTAAATTTTCATTACAATCTCAGATAAAAAAGTTGCAAAAAACGACCTTTACTATTTTCTTCGCGATTCCGACCAATTGCAACTTTTTCAACATTTTGTTAACACATCATTTAGTATACTAATCCTTCTAAGTTCACAAAGGAACTCAACTTACTTGGTCCAATTTTGAAAGAGTTGTTCTGTTTTAAAGGGTATACGTATACTTTTTTACCCACTATATGTATGTAAATACACTCTCCACTTTGTTACGGAGTAGCAGAAATGAAGAGCCAACCCTAACTCAGCAACATCGGGAAAAGGTGAAAGCGTCTTCTTTTTCGGCAGAAAAGGTGGTCTTTTGTTTCCTGTCGAACCGTACGTCTTCACGGTAAGATCCTGTTAAAGTAAGTGGACATATGTGTAGAAATCCTGCGGGTGAGTTCAGTCCCGGCTAAGTAAGCGAGATATCTCTCTCTTTCTGCGTGTATGTGTACGTGACGGTAGGGATCACACACACCAATACAACGAGAGAGATTCGCTGGGTAGGTATATACATATAAACGTATACTGCCGTATATGGGGTGTGCAAACTCGAAAGTGTCATTCTTGTTGCCGGTTGAATTTATTACTTTCGAAGGTCTACAGTTAAGGAGGCTAAACTTTTATTATTATACGACCTAGAAATCCCAGTTTAACGTAAGTAATAAAGCAATTGTCGACTCCCCGAGGAACCAATAAATTTAGCGAGTATTCATCAATCGTTTTCGCACCTCTGTGATTAATTTCATTTGTATTTGTGTGAAATTTTAATTCGCAAAAATTGTGTTTTTCTTCTCTCGTATTTATCTACTTGCGTAAATAGTCAAGACTAAAGTGATATATTTATCTTGCAATAGCGTTAAGGTTATTTGTTAATCATCGCATTCGGTGTAAGGAAAATTAGCATCATGCGAACCTGCAGACTACTGATCTTAATTATCTCATACGTTCATAAATCATTAACACTGTGACAAGCTAATTTTCAGACACCCTGTATACATATAACGCAGGCGCAGGCAGCTGTCACCTTACACCCATGGAGGAGGCATAGGCTGCGGCGGCCATTCTCAACTTATCTCTAGGATCTTTGTAAACATGTCGTGAAATCCGAGTATTCAAGCAGTGGCGTAGATCGAGAGGTGGAAGGACCCGTTGGAACCTCCTCGAAGTAGAAACTAAAATCTTCGACGAGTACATTCGAGACTGCAACATTGCTTGCGCATGGTTTCCTTGGCAATCAGGACCATGGTGGCAACGTCACTAAATGCAGTATACATAGTTCCGTGCTAATAAAAGGACTCGAAAGGTGCCACCACCTCCTTTTACCTCTTTCCTAATCTTTTAGCCGTCCTGCTTAAGACAAGCGTTTTTCAGTTACTTTTTTCTATTATAAAAATCTCTACACTAATTTAATAATTATGATTTATTTCATTACGTTTAAGTCACGGTATAAGCAATCCGACGAATTTTTATATGCTTTTTTAAAATTATTGCTCTATTGCTTAAAACTCCATTTGGGCAATAGTTTACAATTCGATCCGTATCTCCGATTTTCTTCAAACTTTAATAATGCATTATCTATGTAATATCTCATTTTAAAAAATCTCGCAAACAATTACAAGTACTTTTAATTACCAACTATAGATGGTTATTAGTACCCGTTTCTTTTAAATGAAACTAGCTATAACCAACTGTGATAAGTATAATGCTTTGAAAATAAACAATTAAACCCCTTTTTTTACTGTTTACACCTTATGTTCTTTCATTTAATCTGCATTTATAGTGACCTTTAGGTTAGCTTTCGGTTATAAATTTAAGTTAAAATTAAAGATACATACTTATAATTGTTTATATCATTTTGCCGTTTTAGAAAGCCCCTTTCAACATATTGAAGTTTGAAGAAAATCGGAGATACCGACCGAATTGTAAACTATTACTCTCGTTTGCAACATAGAATATGATTAATGTCAATCTACAATTTTTATGATTTTTTAATGTCAATACTAAGTACGCTTATAGTAGTTGTTACAATCATGGGATAGCCAAGAACAATTGACAGAAAACGTTGTTAATGTATAAACAATTTCCGTACAAGTAAATTCTTAAAAAAGTTTAATCGCGATTAGATGAGAACAGATTGTTTTCACATTTTTATACATTCCATTTATGAGATAATTTGTAATGTCATATTTTAATGATCAATCGAACTATCAGAAATTAACTCGATTTAACAATGAATCGTTAAATATCAATATATTTATTATTACGTGACGTTTCGAGACTGTTGAAGGCTTTGCGCTCAAGACTTGCCAGACAAGAACCGCAGCAACGTGAAACATAATACAAGTTGCACCAGCCAGTCCTAAGCTCAGCCATGCGAAACAGGCAGCGGCTAAGGAACGCGACGTACGAATCAGATTACATCTTGCGTTGCTGCTTATCTTTATTCTTCGCGTTACCTCGCTTCAATTCACTTCATTTCGCTTCAGTGACAACCCTTCGATTGGCATCTTATAACCGGCTCGCGATATGTACACGTCCTTCAAAACAGTTCTAAAAAGTATTCAATCTCTAGAAACCTTACTTTCTCCAGTAATTTTAAGTACGATTTTTCAACTAGGAAGTATCTATTAATTATATAAATAGTACATCTTTAATAGTCATATTCTAGTGTAACATGGGTAGAAGATACAAAAAAATACTTTTATCTTAGGAATAATTTAAAAAAATTTTATTTCTTACCATACAAGCTTATTTTTTTACTGTTTTATCCTATTTTTGTGTTTAGGATTATTTTTCTAAACATTAAACATTTCTTAAAATTAATTAACATTTAATCATTGTCAGCTCCGCTAGTTTGTAAAAAGACAGGTGCTTGAGCGCCTTGCGCTACTTGTATTAATTGGGGTTGAGCTTGTATAGGAGCAGTTTGAATTATGATCGGTTGATTACTTCCACCTTGTACTTGCATACGAATCATTTGTAGTTGTTGAGGTGTCAACTGTATCTGAAGTGAAAGATAAATGTAAGTAAAAATAAATAATTCTTATTAATTGTCATACTAAATATACATACAGGTATTTGCTGTATTTCTCCACTGGGTGTTACAATTTGTTGCACTATTTGTATACCTCCAGTTTGTGTAGTGGGTGTTTGTTGAGTCTGCTGTAGTTGTATAACTTGTCCTGAAGACTGTTGTGGACTTTGTACTGTTACTGTCTGTGTTGTATTTGCACTAGGACTTTCCTAAAATTCAAATAAAAAAATGTTTAAATTCAATATATTATTGGTGCATATTTGTTTATACAAAAAAATAATATACCTGCTCTACTGGACTACCTATATTGATTGTCTGAATCTGTCCAGTAGAAGGTTGTACAATTTGTATAGGCTGTGAGGTTGTATTACCACTTTGTACATTTTGATTAGCAGATACTTGTTGTTGTGCTAATTGGAAATAGTAATGTACTTGGTCTGAGTTCATAGATGTACGTACAGTACTTTCATTTTGTGCTTTACTTTGTTTCAATTCATCCCTAGGCACTATGTCAATAAGAAAATCAAACTGATCGTACTTAGTTATTGCCATTGCTATATCGTTTCGTTGAAGTGTACGTCTCTTATTATCTTCGGTATGAACCCATGCCCTTAGCGTCAATTCATGTATAAAAATTTCTGCTGCTTTAGAGAACAACATAGGAGCTTCAGCACTTATCATTTTCACATCACCATCTAGTTTCATTATTTTCTTTATCCTAGCCAATGGTAACGACTGTGTTTTCAAATCCATCTATAAACGTATAAAAGATTATATACCATGTTAAAATCATGAAATTTTCAAGATATTTGTTTACATACTTACAGTAGTAATTTTTTTAATTTCATCCGTGACCTTTGGCCAGAACTGAGCCAAAGCTTGTTGGGCCTCAGAACTACCAGGTGACGCAATTTGCAAATCTCCATTGGAATCTCCTTCGATTTCACTGTCTTGATTACTAAATAATTAATAATAATAATGAGTGATATAATTATAATGAAATGAAACATCATTCGTATAACTTATCTTATATTTTTGTAACTCATTTTCAGTGTGTTCCTCTAGTTTATTTAAATTGTACAACTTATTTAAAAATGTACATAACCTAACAGTAAAGAGGTAAATATTCTTACTTACGCATTCACAAAAAATACCGACATTTTTTGTGAGTTAATTTCGAAACCATATAAAACAAAATTTGTTAAATCCTAAATGTCATCTTGCAGCTCTTAGTTGACATCAATTAACTTACAAATGTTTTAGTTTATTCACTATCACTGAAATTCACAACAGGTTTATTGTTTGTCTCAGCAAATGTGCTGCCATCACTTGCATCACTCTATGTAATCAATTTTATCTTACTTTGAAGTTCAACATACTCATGAAAGGTGGCAATATAGTACACATTCATGTAGCGGATATTTAATTTTATTTTTAATTTATTTTTATAATTCTTACAGGAATTACTGAACTCTTTTCAGATAACAATTAATATTTAATAACTTTTTATTATTGTCAATGTATAATTTATACAAGTTATACAATGTCGGGACTCTTTGATATGTAAATATGTATTCAATTTTTCCATAAAATATTCTTGTTTGTAATATCACCGACGAAGTAAGTCGGTGGCACTGTCCGCATTGTTTTTTAGGTCCATGGATTTAGTCCATATTTAGTCCATGCCCGCGACTAGCGACAGCTTCACGCAGCTTCACGGGCTTTACAGGGCTTCACTGTTCCTATTCATGTTCATGTTTTCGATGTATCACTCAGTACCATCTCATAACTAATTACTTTATGGTTAAAATGTGCGTCTAAGGCTGTGTCATTACATGTTAGTAGTGATGTGGAACTTTGTAATAGTGGAAATATGACGAAACGAAATAGGATTATTAATATAGTGTTTCTACTTATTGCAATAATATTTACTGCAATACCACAAAGTTGGACCGCATTATCAAACAAACGATTATGTTATGACCCTGACTGTTCGGGTAATTGAAGCCATACTTTATCTTCAATATGTATCTAATTTACACCGCCGCATTCCTTTTTTAAATTCACTTAAGTTATTTAATGTTGTATTTTATGCAGAACTTATTTCGTTGGCCAGAACAAAGATCAATTATAGTCCAAATGAAGAAGGGTTATTAGGATTTAAAATTAATACGGAAGTCAAAGTTTACAGTAAAGAAGCAGGTAGCAGAACTGACTTATGGGGTGTAGAGGTATATTAGACTATTTAACAATTTGTTACCTTTGTATTCCAATCAATATTACTTAAATATCTATATGAATCTACTTACCTATTATATCAATTAAATTTAACTAAAATCATAAACATAATAAAAAATTATAGAACATTATGTATTTCAGTCAATATATTTTCTTGACTAAATGAATGTCAATTTAATGTCATGTATTTATTAATTATAGATAGATGGTAAACATGGATACGTATCGCAGTCTTTTTTGAAAGAATATAAAATCTTCCGTAAGAATTTGCAGCATGAAGTGCCTATTAAACCATTACCTAGTAGTAATAAACCTGCTGGGAAACTTCAGCCTAAGAAGATTAATGATAAGTCAGAATCTGTGACAGAGGTTGTCAAAATTTCAAATGTTCAGAGTAATGTTTTGAATTTGAAATCTGCAGAGGAACTGCCATATGATGTAACTCCTTCATATGAAATTATAGATGGAACAACATTGAATGTAGATCATAATGAATCTTCTATACAACCGAGTTTTGCAACAAAAGTTGTACAAACAGCAGTAGTGCCAAACAAGAAAGATGTAATTGTTAATTTAGAAACTGATTCAAATAGTGGGAAGGATAAAGGAACTATTTTTACAGAAGAAAAGTTATCAAAAGAAGTATTGAATAATAAAGTAGATGATAATGAACAAAATATTTCTCAGAAAGATGACATTAATGATTTTGTGGCTAGTTCTGAAGAAGTACTAGATTTACCAAAATTAAATGGAATAAAAATTCCACCAATCAACGCAAATATTAATTTCAAAAATGATCTTGGCAAGGTGAAACACACAATACAGACTGCAGAAAATGAAGTAGTTGCTGAAATACAAGATGTACAATCTTCAGAAAAACATAACACTAAAGAAAAAATAGAGAACAATATCTTGGATAGTAATGGAAAAGATGCAGCAGTCACTGTATTGAATAAATCTAATAATATTGATTTGGTTAAAACAGCCTCTATTAAGTCTTCTGAAACAGATAAACAGGTTGTTCAAACCGTTACTGAATTTAATACAGGAGATGGCCATTCTTTGAGCCATCCTACTGGATTAGAAACAGAACAAGCTGGATCAAAAGTGGACAATAAAGCTTTTGAAAATATTTCAACTCTTTCTTTGAAAAATACCACTGATTTAGAAACAGAAAAAGCTGAAGCAAAAGTGGACAATAAAGCTTCTGAAAACAGTTCAACTCTAACTTTGAAAAACATTACTGAATTAGAAACAGAACAAGCTGAAGCAAAAGGGGACAATGAAGATTCTGAAAACAGTTTGACTCTTTCTTTGAAAAATACTACTGAATTGGAAGCAGAACAAGTTGAAGCAAAAGGGGACAATAAAGCTTCTGAAAACAGTTTGACTCTTTCTTTGAAAAATACTACTGAATTGGAAACAGAACAAGCTGAAGCAAAAGTGGATAATAAAACTTCTGAAAACATTTCAACTCTTTCTTTGAAAAACACTACTGAATTAAAAACAGAACAAGCTGGATCAAAAGTGGATAATAAATCTTCTGAAAACAGTTCAATTCTTTCTAGTATCAGTGAACAGGTTTTACCTCTGTTAGTAGAATCAGACGTGAACCAGACCAAAGAATTGCCCTCTAATACGATTAAAGAAATTACAGATGAAGAAACTCCTAATGTCAGTTCAAAAAGTCTTTCTGAAAATGTTGAGATTAAAATAACTTCAGATATAAAAACAGTTGCAGTTGACTCTCAAAGTACGGAACTTGAAGAAAACAATAATGCTACTAGCGACATTAAGGATGAAGATACTAATAAAAGTGATCTTACAATAACTTCTGATCTAGTCACAGATTCAGAACATAGTGATACTTCTAACACTACTAGTACAGAAGATGTTACTAAGGCATTGCCTGAGAATATTGAAACAGATGTAAAACATGAAATGCAATATGATACTAATAAAGAAGTGAACAAAATGACAAGTGAAACAGCAAGTATAGGTAATGTTTTACAAAGTCATATAAATACACAAGTTAAAGATTTGAATAATAATTCCGATTATGCTGAAGTACATCATGTGTTAAATGATTCCAATCTACCTGAAACTGAAGAATCTAATCTAAATCCATCGGGATTACTGTATCCTACTGAAGACAGTATAATTCCAGAAAATGTAGCAAGCGTCAATGAATTTCGTAACAGAAATTTATTGAATATTAATACAGGGGAACAGAATGAAAATGGTACATATTTAACATTTAATACAAATTTTACGTCCAATAGAATATAAACTAAACCTAATTGTATGTTTATGTCAAGTAGAAAATTTAGCAGAAAATGAAAGTCATCATTTTATGAAAGAAGCTTTACCTGAACATGAAAATGATAAAAATGTACTGGATAAGCATTTGTATGAAAATTCAGATATTGTGGATAGTACATCTATAGAAGAAGAAATGTCAGAAAATATTCCGCATGAAGTACAAGGTATTGTATACAAAACATTGAAGTCCAATATTACTATCACATGTTATACTTAAAAATTGTTGTTTTTTCTTTTTACTAATTCTAGTTAATTTTTTGATAGTTTCTTCCCCAGAGGTCTGTGCAGCTGATAATTCTGAATGTTCTACTGCAGATGATGCTCGAAATTATTTTATGAAGAATGTAAATATGAATTATTTTTTTCAATGTTACATGTATAACCTACAGTTATTCATTTAATGTATAATTTCAGGATGAAGTTCCTGAAAACACTGAAAATGGTTTAATATTGGGTATAAATATAGGAAGCAATTACTGGATGACACTCATGTATTTAATTGTTACTGCTGCTGCAACACTTATATTTTCTTTAGGATATTATTATATTGAGGTATTAAATAAACACTCTGTTACAATTGTTCAGAGTATAAAGAAATTATGATAAGATCCGCAAAATATAATAAATACTTTTATAGAATATGAGAAGAGATGGACAATTGATAGCTAAAATCAATAAACTTGAAAAGGATTTACTTGTTTCTACAAAAGAAAGTTCAATGTTAATAGAAAATTTAAAAGTAACACAAGATAAGGTAGTACAAATTCCTGTGTTGTACTTTTATATTGTACAATGATTCTGTATTGATGAATTTTTGTTATTATAAAATGTATATTTTAGTTGACTTGTATAGAAGATGAATCATTCGGTTCCAATGAAATGGTCCTTTCTTTAAAAGCTGATTTAGTAGCTTCACAGGTAACAAATTTTAATTCATGCAATTGCATATTTTGAACAATAAGTAACGTATAGTTGGTTTACCTAAGCAAATTTTAAAAACACTTTCGTAAATATTCTACTAACTTCTTATAGAAAGCAAAAGCTGAATTGGAAGATCAAGTTGCTATGTTGGAAAAAGACTTAGAAAGTGCTACCGAAGCAGGATTAGAGCTAGAACGAATGTTGCGAGAAGTTCTTTCCTCGGATAATGAAGTGAACCCCATAGCTCAATCAGTGGAAGATCTACAAACAAGATTAAATGCTCAACAAACTGCAAATGAATCTTTGACAAATGCTCTTAATCTTAAAACTCAAGAGGTACGGATTTTATACATATTTGACTTATACAGGGTGTCTCAAAAAGATGGGATAATCCGCAACATGGATATTCCTCATGGAAATAGAAATCGAAAAATCCCTTACCGTTTTGTAATCTGAAGCTCCATTTACGAGATATTAGCAGTTAAATTTAAAAGAAGCAGAGGCCAGTGACTTGAATCATGCGCTTCTTGACTGTGTCTGCGCGTACGTGTTAGTTCTTCTAACTGCTATTATGTCGGAAAGGAAGCATCAGATTACAAAATAGTAAAGGACTTTACGAATTGTATTTGCATGAGGAATATCCAAGTTGCGGATTGTTCCATCTTTTTGGGACACCCTTATATTAAACATCTTTCTTTTTTCTAAACATAACCAATTTTTTAAATCGTAATGTTTCCAAATTTTTAACCTATGTTGTAAAAATTTCTTCGCAGCTTGAATTTGATAAACTTGAGGTTTGTAATTATATGTATACCATACATTTTTTAATGTTATAGTTAGAAAATTACATTGTGTATGCGACAATGTTGTGTAACATTAAATATTTTGCAGAATGAATCTTTATCAGCAGAGCTTGCGTCCTTTAGAAAGAAATATGAAGAACTTGAAGTTGAGCTGGTTCGAGTATCGGAAAATTTGAAACTTGAAGTGGATAGTAAGAATAATATTCAGCAAACGTTGACTGATAAGGTTCAGGAATTAGAAATAAAAATGAAGGAAGTAAGTGTACTATAAGCATCTAACTAATAGCATATATAAGAGATATTAATTTGTTGTATACAAGAATAATACACATAACAAACATTTTATTCTTAATCTATATTTATTTATAGATTTCTATGGAAAAAATAGCCTTACAGAAAGAACTGAAAAATAAAGAAGTAGAAGTGGTAGATCTTATCGATGTCATCAATCAACTGAATTCTAATAATTTAGATTTGGAAAAGCTATATGATGTATCTCGCATTAAAGCAGAAGCAACAATTTTGCTTGAAGAAAGGAATGAATTAAAAATACGATTAACTGAAGTTGAAGGCGCTCACAGTTTATTAGAAGGTAGTTTTACATACATATCTATGTGTATAAACGGTATTAAATGTATTGTTTTTAAACAACAGAACATATGAAAGTTATCAAAGAAGAAGTGTGTACCTTAAGCGAGCAATGCAAGGCAGCAGAAAAGGAGAAGAAAGATGCAGAAACACGTCTCGAGGTTTTATCAAATTTCTTTAAAGAGAAGGAGGCTCAAAGACAAAAGTACCAGAAAATTATTTCAATTGGTATAAATTAATTCAATGACACATTGCTATAGTTAAGACACCATGTTATTGCAGGGAAGAAGCTATTTGGTTGCAACAACAGGGTGAAGTTGTATCCACTGTAGAACGAATACAAACAATGCAAAATGAAGTGCAAAATTATAAGTGGGTATTGGTATATTAGTCATGATATGTATATTTCATATGACATTATTTTGTTATTTATGTTTATAATGAAATTTTAGGCAACAAATAGAAATGTTGAAACAGGAAATATTGGATCAAGAAAGAGAATATAAAAATCAAATTTCTCATCTTGAAACGAAAGCACACGAGCAATGGGTATGAATTTTCAATACCTTATCTTTAATCGTGATCTAACATCTAATCAATTTTATCTGCAGGTAATTGCACGTCAAGTTGAGCGTCGTCTAGAGGAGTCCAAAGTTGAAGCAGGACAATTGCGTAACAGGCTTACACTTATAGAAAAGAATATTAATGATGTAGATCCTGAAGTAAAATTACATCGTAAGTATTTGGTGCTATGTAGGAGTACATCTTACTTCCTTTTAATCTTATTTCAGTACCACAGTCTCTCTAAGTAACAAGTATTATTGAAATACGGTAGTAAACGGTAGTTGTACAGTTGTACGTGTTATTGTTTTACCAGTTGTTATTATCAAGTTAAATTCCGTAAATTATCGTACATTTTTTATTCGAGTATTAGTAGAATTCATAGGAGTAGTCATTGATTACTTTAGTTCTCGAGAATATATTTACAATCATGATTACCGGATATATTCAGGTCTACCTACTGTGGATGCATCTTCTTAAACGCCAAATCAATATTCATTCAGTAATGCTTAAGTGAAAACTTGTACATTGTTTACACTGATTTTCGAACAGGCCTGGAAGCAAACGGAGAGACGGCAACGTTGCCTCCATTATTCATAGGAGCAGAGTCGTCAAGTTCCCCTATAATGTTTTCTGGTTCCTCTGGTGTTCCTCTTCCGCCGCCGCCTTCCTATTTACACGCATTATTTCCTCCGTATTTACCACCCCCGTTACCAAATGCGTCTAGTGTACCACCATACGAAATTAGTCAACGACCACCACCGTTGGGTGGACGGTTATCTTCACCCCCACCTATGCCTCTACATCCTCCTGCTTCTAGCAGGTATGATAACACAGGTTCCCCACCACCAATGTCCCCACACTTACATCCGTCTTTTAATCACAGAATACCACCACCCCCATTTGGTAGTGATCATATTCATTCCCCTCCCCCGCCTCCTCCTGGTTCAGTATTACCAGCGCACCTTGGATCAACGCATTCATGGGGGGAAGAATCACTGCCGCCCCCACGGAGCTCTGGTTTTCATCCACCACAACGAGAACGAGTACGAAATCACAAAGGTTTGTGTACGACATAACTACAAGCAACAACGAACAACTGACGCACCCCACTAATGGTTGATTTCAATTCCGCATGAAATGATTTTTATTCTCTTTTTTTGTCATTATTATTCTCTTCCTTTTTTTGTTGTGCATGCAAGGACGCAAGCGATTCTCTAAAGTGAGACAATTTTGGAGTACCATGGAAGGAAATAATTGCAAATAGATATGGTACATCAGGTTGAACAATTTTGAAAGTGATTTTGTTTAGCTTGTTTTTCGTACACAATTACATATGTATAATATTGCAATCGAATTATGTGCAAATAAATTTATTGAAATAATCGTAGTGAACATGTATTATGGACACATAAATGTTCATAGAAAATAGTGATGTAACGAAACGGTTTAAAAAAATGTAGTGTGTTGTAATCGGCACGATTCGGTGAATACAGTTCTTTTTTAGTGGATTTCAATCTTACGCTTTTGCTGTTTATAAAGATTACACGGGTTAGTAATAAATTTGTCAAAAAAATCCACTATGGTTCAATTTGTAGCCATTGTTACTATAATTCTTTACTATTATGTTGAAGAAAAAATTATTGTCCCATTTTTCATTATTGTGTCCTTTAACCCTGCAAATACGGAATAGAGAGATTTACAAGGTTTAAATAATATATTATTGTTCCCAGGTTCCTTACATTCTTCAGGAGAGTCACTGGACAAGTCGCATCATAGTAGTAAAGTTTAACTTGTTTATTTTGTTACAAATTTCATCACACACTAAATTTTATACTGTAGAAATCTAGTACTCAATTCTGTACATCTTCATTAAATAATTAACAGTGATGTAGGATATGTTGAAATTAATAGAACGTTCACCACCGTTTCTTATTTGGTGATGTAAAAGATTTTATAAATTATTTGTCAAATGTGATAAGTGCATACTTAGTCAAAACAAATATATATGTACATCTATCAAAATGTCATCACTGTTTTACTAAAAAAAAAGAATGAAATGCTAATTGTACATATACATTTGAGTATTGTTTAAGGATATATTGAAGCATGTAGAACAGATTGTAAAAATGTTTCTTTACATAATTAAGTATAATTCTTTGTTCAAATGTACATCTTATATGTTACTATGGTTTATTAATTTTGTTATTATCAATTTTACGCTTTGTTCAAGTGTAAAACGTCAATGTTTTGCTATTTTATTGGGCGGAAAATAAATTCTAATACGAATTTAGGCTAAATGCAATTTTAAAAAATTGAAATAAATCGTAATTTATTATGACATTACCTTTTATAATTCAATGCACTGAACCTATCCTTACGTGTATACGTATTCTACAAAAATTACCATGTATTGAAAATAATACATTTATTACCCAGTTTCCTTTTTACATTTTACAGACAACAATGTAGCTTGAAGTCTACATTGGTGTATCTTTTTAATAATTAATACTTACAATATTCACAATTCAACAAAGAGGTGAAGGAATGCAATGAATATATTATTATTCTATAGCTAATGAATCATAATTTTATAAAAATTTATCTTACTTTTCGATTATCTTGTATCACAAGAACGGATATGGATGTTCAACTACAAAGTTGCGCAAAGAAATATGCATAATAATATAACAATTACTTTATGCCAAAAACACTACAAAAAATATAAAGAAAAATATGAGAACTGCAAATATTTTTATCATGAGCCACCTGTTGTTGGTTACCGATTGGAAATATTTTAATATTTCTGCATGTGCTGCTTCCACGTTCAGTTCAGTATCTTCAATATTACTATCTATCCTGGAATTTGATCAAATCTCATGAATTTTGTAAAATTTAAAAAAGTTAATTTCAACGAATATAGCAAGTATTATTAAATCCTTTGCAATGAAAGTATTATTTTTACCTTTCCACCATTTCTTCCTGCTCTTTAACCATGTGCGCTAATTGCTGGAAAATTCCACCAAGTTCAACAATAGTTGATTCTATACTTTGCATTGTCTCTGCTCTCGATTGAATATAGGCATCCTAACAAACGAATTCCTTTAATATTATTGCAATACATTTAAAGTATTATATCTTTTAAAAAACGTGTTGCTTACAGTGTCATCGTTAATTGCTTGTTGCAACGACAACTGTCCCATTGCTGGTTCTAAATCTATAGCTACAGATGTGGGAGAATCTCGTTCTTGGAACAAAAGTGAACCTTGTTTACCTGCAACGCTTGGAGGTAACATAGTAGATACAGAGCCCTGAGTAAATTGTTGTCGTCTACTTTGCTCCTCTCTCATATTCTACACATAAAATATGTATAAAGGAAATTTATTCAAGGTATTATTTATTCAAGGAATTTATTCAAATATTTTGTTTCCTTGAAATGTACTACTGTTTGTAATTTTATAAAATTTTTACTTTTTTTACGTACCTCTGAACGTACTTCTAATACACTTTTGAAATGATTTGACATATTTGCTAGTTTTGATTGTAAGGCCATAACAATTGAAGACGAATGTGAAGCCATATGATGACTTTGAGTTGCACCATATCCTTCTCGTTGCTTTTTTCCAAGTTCTTGTAGCTTTCCTATTTGATGATTTAAACTTTTTAAGTCTGTTTTTATGATGTTTGTTAATTCATCAATTTCAATTTGTCTGTCATTAAATATTGACTTCCTTTTTGCCACTAAAACAATTAAGGCAATGAATGAATAATATCCTTCTCTACATTCAGTCTTATTATAACATTTTGCAAAGTAATAATATTTATCAATTACTATTATGTATACTTTCTTTATCTTTAGAATGAAATACATATGATATGTATAATTTCGTATGGATTGAATTTTGAAAATTAACAATGCAGAAAATTCAGACAATAGAACTCTATAAAATCAGTTTTAACTGAAACAATACACGTAATTTTTTCATGTTTGGAAAAATTTTCAAGGTACGGAATGTGTTCATCTTATCGTATAGTTTACGTTGCAACATTTTGTTTGCAATCTTATACATGTGACAGTATACAATATGTTATTAAGAGTTTGTATACAACACGAGAAAACGATATTTGGTATTTATTGTGATCTTACATAGAGCAAGCTTTTCTAATTTTGTGTATGTGCTTGCTATATTCTTTCCAATATTCTTTGCTATCATCATGAAATTTGAATAGCTTTGAAGCTGGCGTGCTCGACGAGGATTCTGCATAACCGCCGCTCGTGCAGCGGTTCTGCTCTGCATCGTACGGATGGCATTAATGAATTCATTGGTCCTGTCGCGCGACGTCATTGTCCCTGGTACGGTGCTCGGTTGCTTTTTTTCGTTCTCCGTTAAATTACACCCTTCACTTTCATTGTTTTTCCTCTGACTTATGGTGCTGCCCTGCCAGGGACTGTTTGAGGTTGTGATCACGAAATCATGGTTTACCTCCGAGCCAACGTGTCGTCTACGTGCTGGCATCGCATTCTCAATTTCTACACGTATTTACGATTTTACAGTTCCAAAAGTAGTACTCTTGTATCTCTTTCACCTTGTATGCTTTTTAGCAAACGTGTCAGCAGATTGAAAGAATGTCCACATGACAGCTCGGATCTCGGATACCTATATATCGTACAGTGATTTTCGTCCATTTATCCTTGGCAACGTCATGTAACAAGTTCTACATTTCCCTAAGTAAAATGTTACTAGGTTTACAAGTAGCAACCATACACCTCTGTGAAGTTAGCCGGACAACTTTAACTTTTTAACGTTTCATTATACTCAATCGATTGGTGGTTGTTTGGTGGTCATTGATGGAGTAATTAGAACATTTGGTGCTCACGCTTTCTTTTGTAATTAAGTGATCGAAATTGGACCGTGAAGTTAACCGAAAATTTTTTTTTCGCCGGATCAGTTTTTTAAATGCTCAATCGATGCGTAATCATTTGGTGGTCATTGGTGGCCCAATTACAATATTTGGTGGTACTTAGTTTCTATAAAACACGAAAAAAACGATGTAGTCATCTCGCATTTCAGGATAGAGGTGTACCAACGCACGTTTAAAGTCGATAAAACAAATATTTCTGGTTGGATTGTCTTTTCGGATGAATCAAACGATGTAGAAAGGTGTGCTAATGATTAGTAATCTAATTGAAACATTTGGTGGTCAGTAATTAAAGCAGAATATATGAAACCTGGGATTGGTTGAGAAGTGAATACAGGAAGGAATATTGAAATACATTTTGGTGGATAAAACTTATATTTCTTAACCGTTCCATTTATATCATTGTTCTGTGAACATGTTCATACTTCCAGCATATTCCAATCAAAGAATTTACAGAATAAGGAAAAGGAATCTAAAGTAATTTTCAGTAGTTCCATACATCTTTATCTCGAATAATTTTCTAAAACATTCAAAGTACTAGACATTTTTACACTTTGAATCTCATATCGATTTCTAAAATAATCCTAGTTCGATGTAATATAGAACGTGGTTTTATGAGATAGATTCGAAGTTCGCAGCCATTAGCTCGATATTGTCTTCAGTTTACAGTACTTTACCGATGATAATACCGATTGCCCAGGCCTCACCACGAGGAGGTTGCTGCGAGTGGAGGCCCAAAGCAGGTAGATGGAATCACAAGTTCTACATCTACCCACCTTTCACAATAAACCTTATAAATAACTTAAATTTTAACTATGTAATACTATC